TGTGCTCGTACCTTGAGACACCAGATCTGGCTATGGTTGCCCACACTTTTGTTACATCTTGCCTGGACTATTGCAGTGCTCTCTACATGGGGCTGCCTTTGAAGATAGCTCAGAAGTTTCAATTGGTTAAGAGATTGGCAGCCAGATTAATAACAGGAACGCCGTCCAAAGAGCAGACAACTCCCATGTTATGGCTGCTCCACTGGCTACCGGTCCACTTGCCGGCTGATTATTACCTACAAAGCCCTAAATGGTTCAAGCCCAGACTACTTGACAAACTTCATCCCCACTTACAAATCTGCTCAGACACTGCGGTCATTGATGGGGCCCTCCTCTCGGTCCCACCCCAGTCTCAAGCGCAGCTGGTGGGGATGAGAGGCCTTCTCCATGGTTGCTCCTTCTCTTTGGAACGCCCTCTCTATAGAAATGAGAACAGCCTCTTCACTCTTTTTAAAGAAACAATTAAAACTTTATTTTTCACATTAGCTTATGGAGAGGAAGATGATTTTTATTTTTTATTCTACCTAGCCTGATGATGCTGACAGTTATTATATTAACTTATTGGTGAGAGACATTTTCGCATTTTTATATTTTTATACAGATTTTAACTGCCTATTGTGTTATTTATGAGGCCAATTGGTTTTATGTTTATAGAATCATAGAATCATAAAGTTGGAAGAGACCTCATGGGCCTTTCAGTCCAACCCCCTGCCAAGAAGCAGGAAAATTGCATTCAAAGCACCCCCGACAGATGGCCATCCAGACTCTGTTTAAAAGCTTCCAAAGAAGGAGGCTCTACCACACTCTGGGGCGGAGAGTTCCACTGCTGAACAGCTCTCACAGTCAGGAAGTTCTTCCTAATGTTCAGATGGAATCTCCTTTCTTGTAGTTTGAAGCCATTGTTCCATGTCCTAGTCTCCAGGGAAGCAGTAAACAAGCTTGCTCCCGCCTCCCTATGACTTCTTCTCACATATTTCTACATGGCTATCATGTCTCCTCTCAGCCTTCTCTTATTCAGGCTAAACATGCCCAGCTCTTTAAGCCGCTCCTCATGTTATAGTCAAGGTTGTTTTATTTGCTTATTTTTAACTGTTAGTTTTAATTGTTTGTTTCTGTTTTATTTTGTCATTGCACATGTCACTGAATGTTTGCCATCTTTGTTTTTGGAAGCCACCCTGAATCTCTTTGGGGAGAGAGGCCGGGTTATAAATAAAGTTTGATTATTATATTATTATATAGTGCAAGGGTTCTACCTGTACTTTTGTGTGAATTTTGTCTACTTCAAGTTGAAAAAAAGTTCATCTTTTTGTGGTATAATATAACACTCTAGATCAATGGTTCCCAACCTTTGGTCCTCACGTTCTTTTGAACTTCAGCTCCCAGAAATCCCAGCTAGTTTACCAGCTGTTACGAATTACGGGAGCTGAAGTTCAAAACACCTGGAGGACCAACGATTGGGAACCATTGATCTAGACCAGGCATGGGCAAACTTCAGCTTTCCAGGAGTTTTGGACTTCAACTCCCACAATTCCTAACAGCCATTATGATAAGCTTGCCCATGCCTGCTGTAGACTAATAAATATAGACAAGGTCAATATAGCAGCAAGGTGATGGATTGAAAGGAGTTCCTAGAATTGTATAGTTTTTATAGAAAATAACATTTATATTACTTATTTAAGAATACTTCTTTAGCACTTTTCATTTTAAAAGCAATTTACAACAGTTAAAAAACCTCCAACAAAAAAGATTGATTAATAAATGAATATGGCAATAGAATACTTTATTAAAATAATGGTGGTTAATTAACAAAGTTAATGATCAGGGAATCAATTAGGAAAGTGCCTTATTGAGTCTTTTGTTTGTACACAAAGGCTAAATCTTTGTGTGTCTTTAATGTTGCATCAGTGGAAGAGGCAGCTCCTTTGCTCTTTTGTATGTGGCTGTGTTCTGTCTCTTATAATGGTGTTTGCTGATACATATAATAACATGAACCACCCTCTTTGGCTCACACCCATCCATATCTATTTCCTCATACAAATCTATCTGTTTACATGCAGACAATAAAAACCTCCACTGTTAGCTTAGCAATTAAAAACTTAACTATTCCAGTTTAGCATGTTATTGTGCAATGAAGTCAAGCCTATCAGACTTTTAAAATACTATTTTCCTACATTCTTCTGGCCACCGTGCTGTTATTACCACAATCATAGATTCAGAGTTAACAAGCACCTCTGTCAAAAAGTGATGAGGATGCTTTCAATAATGAACTCTTGCTGAATAAATGGTTGGGAAATGATGCATGCTAGTGTTCCTTGTTTAAATTTAGACACACCTTTCACAGTGTGTTAGGATAATCAAATATTGGGAGATGTAATAAACACACAAATTTCAAACTTCCAAATCATTCATTATACACATGAAAAGGTCAGATAGTATCCTCTTAGTGCAAACACACCACTGTAATAGCCTCTTTTTTCTCAATTGTGATGCCCCCCTCCAGGAGCTGTTGGAGAAGACAACATGGTATTATAGTGACTGATGGAGAGTGGAGATATTCAAAAAGCATTTGGCATTTAGCTATGTCCCTGTAGGCAGATACATGAATGAAACCATCTCCTGATCACAGCCAAAGCTTCCTGGTGCTTGTTTGCATTTATGTGTGTTACCTGAATCAAGTTTCTCTGCCCTGGGTCATTTTAGGACCAGCTGTAAATGTCCAAAATATTATATCTGTATCTATGGATGAGCATATACATCAGGCAAAAGAATCTTTATTTATGAGTATTTAACAAGGCATAAAAAGCCATCTTGGTAATATAAAAACAGGAACAGAAGTGCTTCTAGGATAGCCATTCAAAGAGTTATTCTATTTTTTTTCTCTCAGTATATTTCTTTTAATAAGAGGACAATAAAAATGGGGAAATGTAGGAAAAACACCTGGAATCACTGTCAATAAGTACTGTTAATGAGGAAATCAGAAAGATTAGAAAGGAAATCTGGGACTTTTCAATCATTGTATGCATCCAAAGAAAATAAAGAGCATTTCATGCTGAAATTTTGCAGCATAGTGTTAGATCTTAGCATCCTTTTCATGGAGAAGTTTTGGATTCTCTTCTAAATATCTCTAAAGGAAAGAGTTGACAGGAAATATCTTCGCCTCAAAACATGGATAGTCACTATTTGGTTAAGTGGCCTCCTAAGACAAAGAAACTGGCCAACATACATTCTGCATACAAACTGCTAATTGTAATTGTTAGAAAAGCCAAAACTGATCATTTAGGCTTCCAAGCAATTCTGAATAGATTGTCTTTTTTATGAGTCAATTTTTTATGGTAGATTCAAAGGTCACCATCCATCTTAGATCTTGCTGCAAGGCATCACGGCAGCAGTAGTTCTATATGGACATTTGCTGAGTGACAATTCAGTCTACACATTTTATAGCAGCACTATTTTTCACTGTACCATAATTTAGGGTTCCATAAAGTTGCAGTATATCTAGATCAATAAAAATAAGTCAGTATAGAATCTGGCCTTTATCTTCTTGTTGCAGCAGATAATTGTATTTTGATCAGTATGTTTTGTAGGAGTGTTTGATAAGAAAGTGATTCTCCTATGCCATGGTATCAAAAAATATTTAAAAACCAGATCAGAAAGCAATTTTTGCAATCTAGGAACCTATGTAGGAACATTATTTTGCCTAAGCAAGCAACCTTGCAGTGCAGTTGTTTGCAAACCTATTTGGAAGTAAGTCTTGGTGACTTCAGTGTATTTACTTCTCAAGCAAATGGTTTGGGCTGGGATGCATGAAGCTACCCTCTTTGTTAAGCATAACTGATGAGTGGGTTTAAAACATATTGGAATTTCCTGGTGTCCCAAATCCTATACTTTTTTGCAAGCAGCAGTCTTACTATTAAGCCCCACACTCCTGTGGTTAAAAGGTGGTCCTGCTTTCCTTCAGCCAACCATCAACTGTTATGTGCAAATTATTTGTGTTCGGTTTTCCATGGCCTTTGTGCAGTTACCATGCTTCACCCCATAAATAGATTTTAAGGAAGTATTATTCAGACTTGAGTCAAATGTTCCTCTCATCACTTTTTTTTCATAATATGACAATACAAAATGATGGCAGGAAAATGGGATCAAATGGTTTTGAATCTTATCTGTTTATTTATGTTGCATCAAATCTTTGGGGTAATTATACACACCTAACAACAATTAATACCAACCATAAAGTAAAATCCAAAACAACTAATGAATCACAAAATTGATATTGCAGATAAAACTATTTGACAAAAATATTAAAACTTTGTTAAAAAATAAGTTTGGCACAACACAAAATGTGATGGTGCCAATCTATCTTTGAGAGCAAAGAACTCCTCAGTTCAGATGCAGCTACTAAGAAGGCCCTTTGTTTTGACTGAATTGCACCTCCAATATATCTGGGGTACAAAATGGGCACACCATCAGATTTCAAATATATGCATGTACTTTTGAAAATAAAGCAAATGATGCAAATCTCCATCAGGATACATTTTTTTTTTGCTGGCATAACTATGCTGCATCAGTGGCAATGATGCCTGTTACTAAGGGAGTGCTGTGGCAGGAGTAAAATGGTTGTATGTAATACAGCTACTGCAGGGCCAGGGTGACAGCAAAATCTGTCACGCATTAAAGCTGCTGTGCTGGCTCTGGAGCTGCTGTCAACAGAGATGGATTGCTCTGCTATCTTCCAGTTGGTGCTATGCTCTGATCCAGAAAAGTTGCTTGAATTGGCAGAGTAGACCATGGCACCTTAGGATTGTGCCCTAAGTCAACTCTTCCAGATGAACTGAAACCATGAAGTGTGGTCTCTGGAACTGTTCATCCTTCAAAGAAGTACATGGTGCATAGCAATACAATATCCAGACTTATGACTAGAATAAATAAGAAACATTAATTTAACCTCTGGTAATATGAGCTTTCTCATTGCAGATCTGGATTATTATTTCTTGTTCCTGTAGATATTTGGAGCCCAAAGATGTTGATGATGATGAAGAAGATGAAGGAGATGAAGGAGAAGGAAAGGAAGGAAAGGGAGGAGAAGGAGAGGAGAGAGAAGGAGAAGAGGGAAAAAGAGAAGCAGGAGAAACAGAAGCAGGCAAACCAATTTTAGAAAAATCCTCAACCATAAATAATAATCCCTAAAGCCTTTCTCAGCCCATCCCAAAGAGCTTGCAAGAGCTTGTAGATGCATATTGCAATATGCCAGGAAGATTAGTAAACCAGAATTCTATTATGCAAAGTGAATTTGCAAAGCTGAAGCAAATCACTGCAACTTGATGCTGTGCCAGATGCATTTTGCATCCTTTGTACCATATAACTATTACTTTGTGCCATTCCTGTCTGGCCCAGCACACACCAGTGTTCCTGCATTTCCTTTCCATTCCCACCAAAACAGTATGTATGTATAGCTCTGAATCTCCCAAGCTACTCTGCAAATATTCTGCTCATCCCTCAAAACAGGTTCGTAATTTGTATGCAGTTTTTCATTGTTTTGTCAGGAATGATAGATCCAGTGATTTAAAGTTATTCAAATTGGACATCCCCGTAAGCCTGCCAAATCAAAGGGGTTAAAAAATACAGATTATGTAGTCCATGATAAATAATATTGAGTAATTTGGTATTGATTGAATACTCTTAACAGTAGTCTGGATCCATGTTCTTCCTGTCAAAAACTTTCTACACTGCTTTACGCATGATCAATTTGGGTACCCATTTGGAGAAGTGTGGGGTGCATAGAAATATAGTATCTATAATTTAATTATGAAAATTGTGTATATGCTTCATGTTACTGTCCTAGGCTGACATTCACTTCCATCAGGACATTCCAGTATTTCTTGTGCCTTGGTGCACGTACAGTAGCCAAGCTCCTGTATAGCACAGCCTAGCATGACAGCTCTGCATATGGGACTATGGTAGAGGTCAACATCCCATGGACTTACCATTGAACCATTACTACTCCCCATATGCATGTAACCATCCTGGGCTGATGGTAAGCAGGGGTGGATTGCCTCCATTTGGTTATGTCTCTAAAGCCAGATGTAGAGAGATTACATCATTGCTGGGATCCTTCACAGATCTCAGCATATGATATGATCATTTTGTGTCTGGCTGTGGAGACATAACCAGACATTCCTTCAGATTCCACCAGCAGCTGCTGTGGAATGGCCCTCGGCCTGCAGCAGCTCAAATGTACATCTAGAGTGGGGAAGCTTTGTTCATTGTGAAGGACAGAAGGAAATGCCTGCCTCCATGATGATCCCACCCTGGAGAAGTACTTGGGTGCAAGCTGGGCTTGTGTCTGAGTATGCCACTAACGAGATGCCAGCCAGTATGTGTACTACAGCACATGTGAAATGTGCACACTTTTGAATTATACATAATGTCTACTGCATCTAATTTTCTCCAGAGAAGTGATATTCATGTAGGAAAATTGTCCTTTAGAGGGAAGTGAAATGCTGACTCAAAAGGGAAACAAGAGTGGCTAGATGTTTACAGACCTATTATTATTATTAAGCTTTTTAAAAATTGTTTTGTATTGTCTTTTATATTGCTTTTATTTTTAATACAAACTGCCTAAATATTTTAATACATGAAAAAGCCTAAAAAGCCAATGTGGTGCCATGATTTGTGTGTTGGATTAGGACTCCAGGAGACCAGAGTTTGAATTCCCACTCAATTCTAGAAACCCTCTGGGTGACCTAGGGCAAGTTACATTCTCCCCACCTCAGAGGAAATCTGTGGCAAAACCTCTCTGAACAAAGCTTATCAAGAAAACTCCATGATAAGGTTGCCTTAGGGTCACCATAGGTTGGAAGCAAGTTGGAGGCACGTAACATATTAATGCCCTAAATAATATTGAACCACAACATTTCCGCTGCTTTACACCATTTCTCATATATGACAACTCCCCACAGGCATTCAGCTTAAAGCAGTGCATGATGTATAGACCCCAACATGAGTAGACTAACCAGTTTTTGTACTGTGTTTTTGTTGCTGTTCTTTTCCTAGTTGTTTAAACACATACACCAAGATTCCAGTAAAAGCCAAGAAGACATATTGAAGATCTCAAGCATCCATTGTTTGCTTGAAGTGATCCTGGGTATGTAATCCTTAAGAAGTACCTTGCTGGAACAAACCCAGATCCATCAGGTTCAGAACTATTCAAGGATTTTCAGACAGAGTTGCTACCTCTCAAAATTTTCCAAAGAATTAGTTATGTGAGTGTCTTGTAAATTCTCTAAGAGCATCCCCTTCCAAAATAGGGATACTGTGATAGAAAATGGGTTTCCTGAGAGTGCCTTTCCTTTTAAAGTCAGGGGAAACACAATTTGAGTACCTTTTATGGATTAAAACTGCCAAAGCATCTTCTGGTTAAAGGAAAGGAAACCCTCACCTCCATCTCTTTCCACAGAGCATTTAAAACAACTCCATGACCTTTTGATTTCTGATCGTAAGAGGAGGGTGGGAAGAACTGCCAGCCAAATTGGCTTTTTTTATTAGTAGTGTCACAGCTGAGAGACATTTTGCTGAAACTGTTTTACTTGCTGTAACCGATTGTTTACTGATGTGTTCAATGTCACTTGCTCTTACATTTTCAAGTATCATTTTGTATTTACTTGGTTTTGTTATTGTTAACTACTTTACCCATCACTTCATGGGATACAAATTTCACAAATAAAATGTTTTCAAACCAATTTTTTTGCCTTGTAATACATATTTACAGCCACCTAAAATAAATAAGGAGCTTAAAGGAGAATATTATCAGAATACAAGTCATATATGCAGAACACATCATGCAACGTGCGGAGCTTGATGAATCCAACGCTGGAGTTAAAATTGCTGGAAGAAACATTAACAACCTTAGATATGCAGATGATACAACTTTAATGGCCGAAAGTGAGGAGGAGCTGAGGAGCCTTCTAATGAAGGTGAAAGAAGAAAGTGCAAATGCTGGGTTGCAGTAAACATAAAAAAACCCCAAGATTATGGCAACCAGACTGACTGATAACTGGCAAATAGAGGGAGAAAACATGGAGGCAGTGACAGACTTTGTATTTCTAGGTGCAAAGATTACTACAGATGCAGAATCAGAAAACATTTACTTAGGAGGAGAGCAATGACCAATCTCAATAAAATAGTGAAAAGTAGAGACATCATACTGGCAGTGAAGGTCTGCATAGTCAAAGCAATGGTATCTCCTGTAGTAACCCATGGATGTGAGAGCTGGACCATAAGGATGGCTGAGCAAAGGAAGATAGACGCTTTTGAACTGTGGTGTTGGAGGAAAATTCTTAGAGTGCCTTCGACCATGAGAAGATCAAACCAGTCCATACTCCAGGAAATAATTCCCGACTCCTCGCTGGAGGGAATTATACTAGAGACAAAGATGAAGTACTTTGGCCACATAATGAGAAGACTGGAAAACTTAAAGAAGACAATGATGCTGGGGAATATGATAGGAAAAAGGAAGAGGGGCAAGCCAAGGGCAAGATGGATGGATGATATCCTTGAAGTGACTGACTTGACCTTGAAGGAGCTGGGGATGGCGACGGCCAACAGGGAGCTCTAGCGTGGGTTGGTCATGAAGAGTCAGAAGCAACTGAATGAATAAACAACAACAACAAGTCATATAGTGAAGTTTATATTAGGAAACCATCAGAATTTCAAGTTCAATTACTGACATTTCTACCTTGCCATCCCTAACAAGGGATCTTCATACTGAATCCTAGAAAACGCAAGTTACAAAAGAAAAGTTCCAATATATACATTTTGTTCTCATCCATTTCAGCTTGTGTTCTCAATGACAGCTAATGCAGAATAGAGAAACATCCATTTGAAGTATCTCACTTGTCCCTGTGAGACAACATACAGAGCAATCCTATGCTTATTTACTTAGACAGCCATACTGGCTATTTGGGCTTAATTCTTGTCCAGTATTTATAGGATTGCAGCATTAGATCCCAGCAACACAAATAAGTCTTTTGTACACACACAGTCTTTGTCTGAGGCAAGATGCAGCTGCAGTTATACTGTTTGGTTTCTCGGATCAGCCACTGCAATACAAAAACACTAGTTCTATAATTTCACTTCAGTGTTTAAGTTGGACATAAGGCAAGTATATATATGTAAACAACATCATTTAATAAATCTGCCTTTGCTATTTTTCTTTGATTACATTAAGGTACTATGTAGTGACACACCCTCATATGTTAAACAAGCTTGTAATATAACTCCTTCAGAAATGCCTTCAAGCCTTCACCCACTCCTCCCCATCTCTCTCTTTTTAAGACATCACTGCCCAAAGATGTAGTAATTATGTAATATTAATGAACAGTACAACATGTAGTTGTATTTGCAAACCTTTTAATGTAGTGAAAGAGATTCATTGTACATATTATCCTTCTTCAAAATGACCTGACATTGCAAAAATGCCGCAGGTTTAACGGCTCATGTAATGTAAATGCATAAATAATTGAGAATCAGAAATAGGTAGCATTTAGGAGTATTGGTACTTACACCATCATATGTAAAATTCTGGCATTTAATTCCATGGAAGACTCCTATTTCACTCAGCATTAGCACATGTAAATGTTAGGAGTAGGTCAAAATGAGTACTGCTCCACATTGTGCTATAGCCAGGCTTGCTACTGAATTATACTTCAGTACAATCCCACATATGTCCATTCAAGAAATGAATCTCATTGCATTCAGTGCAATTTAGGGGTCATCTACACAGAACATTTAATGCCGTTTCAGACAAGTATTAAATAAAGTGATGTTGGGCCTTTCCAGACAAGCCATTATCCCAGGAGCTTCTGCATTTTAAAACGCAGATGTTCCTGAGGGCCTGTTCATACCCATCCCAAAAACCGCATGCTTTCTGGGGTGGGTGTTCAGATGTTCTTCTGGAACTGGCCTTGCAGAACATGTGGAGGCCCTACCCCCTACCCCAAGCCCCCAATCCCCTTTTAAAAGTAAGGAAAACTTACCCAGCCTCCATTAGAGTGTTCCTGAGCTCTTCTGGCGCTTAGAAATGACGCACCAGGAGAGTGGGGGGAAGGGCGGGGGGATAAAGTCCGGAAAACTGGGAATGGTGTCCAGACACCGGAAGTAGTGTGTTTATCCTGCGCCTTCCAAGATGGCATGGAATAAATCCACTATCTAATTAATTCGCCACAAACCAGGGTTGGTTAATTGTGGGTTGGCCAGAACGTAATCTGGACAGTCCCCTTTTTATCGTGGAAGTTTCCGCAATAAAGGGGCTGTCTGGATGGACCCGTTGCTGTGCAAATATTACATGGGAAATCTTGGAACCAGTTTGAGGCCACATGGTGATTACACAAATTACAGAGCGCAGGTGCACATTAAGGGCCTTCTTTCATGTGCTTTTGTGTGTGTTTGTTGTCTGGCAGTTTGAAGCTAGTTTTGAACTGCATTAAATGGTCAGTGTAGATGGGCCCTTAATTCCGAAATAGAATTGCATCCTAAGATTTGGGAAGCAGGAGGTATAATTTTCTGCAATTGCGTAGCAAATTGTAAATTACCCCCAAAAGATATCTGTCCAACCTTTGCATAAAGATGTTCAAGAAAGGAGAATACACAATAAATGAAATAGCAAACCCATGGGGGGGGGGGGGGACATTGCATTAGACTTGTTTTTTTCCCATAGTGTATAGCATGGCATGACAAAGAGGACAAAAGGCTTCATCTTTTGAAGTGAAGTAAGATCCCATGACTTCTAAATACATTATATCCTGATGCCAGCAAAGACTTTAAAGAGGCTCCAACATCAGATTTCAAGGCTAGAGCTTTCAGAAACTACTCCTATGAATATCTGAGATCTTCTCTTGATCATTTTGAGCCGGCTGCTCTGATGAAGATGGATAATTGCTTGTTGGGACTGGTAGTCTCTAGGCTGTATTTCTGTATTCATAACAAGAGCATCTGCAATCTGCTGTTTTATGCAGATCAGGTACAGAGTTTTCAACTCGTCCTGGCACTTTTCCATTCCAGCTTTTGATTTAGCATAAACGTACAAAATCCAGAAAATTCAAGCTTGCATGTAAAATTAGTAAATCATCTGTTTTTCCATGCCTTACTAAATACAAAAAGACCATGATTCAGGAAACTGGAGGACAGAGCCATAAAACTATGTCATACTGGCACATCATGGCATATAATGCCAGTAAAGTCAGGCAGCAAGTCTTCACAGCATTTTAGAGGAGCAAAATTAAATGCTTCGGTTTTAAGAATTGAATTTTTAATTTTGCATGGTTTATTTTAGACAAAAAAACGGCTGGGTTGAAGAAAAGAAATATGGCATGTTTAATATTCCACTATTTCCTTCAATGCAATGGAGGGAAAAAGGAATTAGGCATCTGCTGGGGTGGTAGAAAGAGCCTAGTAGTTTTTTCCCCTCCTGTTCGGGAACTAAGTCTGTCTCATTACTGGTGACAGCACATATTGGTAGGTCATAGAGCAAGGGGACAGCCCTGCATAGAACAGCTGGGACCCAGAGCCAGCAATCTCATTAAAGTAAGCTGCTGCTATTTCCAGCCTGTAATAGAGCTTTGCAGCTTGATTATATTCAGTGAAAGCAGGTCATTACAAACACAAGGCTTTTTTTTGCATATTATCTAAATTGAAATAAAAATATGCTCTCCCCTTTCATATGCTATATTGATAAATCCAAAGTTATGAATGAAACATGTTGATTAGTTGGTTAAAAGGAATTAGTTCTGCATTATGCTTCCAAGTTTAAGGCTTGATTGGCACAAATAACTTTTCTTGATAATAAGCCATTTACAGATTATTCTTTTAAATGGAACATGCAAACATCAAAACGATCTAAAGAGACAAGTTAAAGTGTCAGGTTCCCCCACCACCACTTTCCTGTTTGAGCTTCAATTTAACATTATTTTTAGAAGCTGGTCAAATGAAGCAAACCTACACCATGCTAGATCCTCTTTCTGCTCTACAGTAATAGAAACACATTGGAAATCCATTAATAGCAATGTACTTGGAACCAAAATATGATTGAGGGCAAATGTTATCTGTTGAATTAATCTTTTTAGCAAAGAGCATTTGCCCATAGGATACTATTGCTGTTTGACAATAGCTCTTCCTTGACTGTCTCTTCCTTAATTAGCAAATAATGAACCACCTTTATGGCCTGAACTCAGGACTTGCTATGCCAGTTTATACACATTTAGTATAGGGTGTGCCTACTTTTGCCTACTTCACTCCCCGCTTTCAAGAAGCAGCTGAAGACATACCTTTGCTCACTGGCTTACAAGGAGGAGGAATAGTAGTTGGTAATACTACCATTATACGTCTTATTAATAGTTGCCATCCTCACCCCACCAGTTCAATAGATATCGATTTGCCCCAAAGAAATGGGAAATTATTGTTTCCATTCAATGTTTGATGTTTTGTCTTACGTCTGTTATAAGGCTGTGTTTTTTATTTAATTTTAGTTTGTTAAGTATAATTCATGTTTATATGTTGGGTTGTTTAAATTTTGTTAGTATGGATGTATTGTTGTTGTATTTGGGCTTTGAATGTTTGCCTTTTATGTTTGGAATCTGCCCTGAGTCCCTCCAGGGAGATAGAGTGGAATATAAATAAACTTATTATTATTATTATTATTATTATTATTATTATTATTATTATTATTATTATTTGAAACACAAGATGAGTCCACAGCAAACAAGATCACTCTGCTGGCTGTTGTATTGGATCACACGTCGGACACTTCCCAAATGTCTAGGACTGTGTGAAGTATCGGCGAATAATATGTGCAGATCCCAGTAAGGTTGCCTTTTGCAGCTGGCAGATCGTAATTTTTTCAGCGCCTATTGTTTTTAAGTGCCGGCCAAGGTCTTTAGGCACTGCACCCAGTGTGCCGATCACCACTGGGACCACCTTTACTGGCTTGTGCCAGAGTCTTTGCAGTTCAATCTTTAAATCCTCATATCATGTCAGCTTTTCCAGTTGTTTCTCTTCAATCCTGCTGTTGCCTGGGATTGCAACACCAACGATCCATACTTTGTTTTTTAACACAATCATGAGGTCAGGAGTATTGTGCTCCAAAACTCTGTCTGAATTCAGATTATTATTGTTGTTGTTGTTATTCTGTATTACATGACTGCAGACAACAATTGCAAGCCATTTGTGCAGATATGCCAGTACATTTAGGGATGAGAGGAATCCAAACCCAAATGGTGTTTTTCCTGATACAATTATCCCTGTTTGAAGAACACTTTCAAACCCACATAATTCTAGGATGTATTGTGGCAAGAAACCTTTCTCCCAAACTCAGAATCCTGAAGTACCTCTTCAGTCATTGTGAGACGTGCTAGGATGCCAAATCTTTCACTATGGGAGAGGCTGATAGAGACCTGGAATAGAGTGGCAGATTTAATGCAAAATCCCTTTATTACCAGTTGCGGAATAACACTTGTAGCAACACACTAAATTAAAGGCTACATTCTTACCAGGTTAGAAGAGGAAAGAGGAAATTAACCATGCTTAAAGTGTTTCCTTGACCTTCTACCACTATATGAGATCATCTTCTCAGTCTATGGAGTACCTGAAAAATCTGGTTTGGATATATGCATATATGAAATATTTCAAAGCTATAACACTGGAGGTCACTGCTTAATTGTCACCGAAAGGTTTTTCAAGGCCTCTGTTGAGGAATGAATGTGTATAAGATAACATTAATTTAATTCAACTGAAAAATCTCAAGGATTTAAATGTGTACTCCATCTTGTTAGTGTTTGAAATATGTGTGCACTACCCCCTTGTAATTGTATGCATTTCCTCCCTTTTTATCGTGGGGTGGAGGGGGAGTATTGGTTAAATAAAAATAAAGAGGGGGCAAAAGCAGAATGCTTTCCCCCATTTTCACATCATGATCCTTATATAGATTTGAGCTGTGTAAGAAAGATTTTAATGGTACCCTGTATATTTTGCACACAGCCTTTGAAATTTGTGGGTTTGACTTTTGTGGATTTGATTATTCCTGGATTTGATTAAAATGTTTTCTCTAGGTCCTGTAAGGTAAATTTCCACTTGAAGTTGACCCACCTGAAATCATGCTGGAGGACCTAAAATTGCCTAGAGAGAAGTTTTCTCAGGTAAAATACCAGTAATAGCATTTTGTGGTTTTTCACTTTCATTGGGGCTCTATGCCCCTAATCCCAGCAAATGTGGAGAGCAAACTGTAGTGTGTAGTTTAGCCTTAATATTTGTCACAAAGCATTTCCTAAGCACCTTGGTCAATTTTCAGTGGATGCATGCATTCTTTGTGGTGATTATTTTATATATACCATTCCAAAAAACAAAACAAAAAACTATTGTGTTTGCATATGAAAAAAGAACTAAAATGAACAAGTAAGAAAATGCTTGCTCCAATCTCAGGGCCCTCCCACACAGCCCTATATCCCTAAATATCAAGGCAGAAAATCCCACATTATCTGAGTGTGGACTCAGATAACCCAGTTCAAAGCAGATATTGTGGGATTTTCTGCCTTGATATTCTGGGATATAGGGCTGGGATATAGGGCTGAGTGGAATGGCCCTAAGAAGATTAGTTTTTAGAGCTCTCCACCATCAGAGTGTTCTGATCCTAGATATTTCTACTTGCAATATTGCACAAACATGAAAATTCAGCAATAAACCCTATGATTTGATGATTTCTTCATTTTTTTCAGTAAGTTACATTAAGAAATATGGAAACCGACTTACATCAGGTCATACCACTGATCCATCTGATCTAATGTTGTTTACACTGACTGGCAACAGGTGTTTGAGGTTTTTGGCTGCTTTCAGATGGAATGGCCTGCCTCGGAAGATGGTGGACTCTCCTTCACTGGAGGTCTTCCAACAGAAATTGGATGGCCATCTCTCAGGAGTGATTCAGACTGTGCATTCCTATATGGCAGGTATTGGAACAGAGGACCCAAGCCATATAGTAAAGCCATATGTCAGTAAAATAATGAACTACAGCCGGCTCATCATATTCACAAATTCCACTATTCATGACATCAAAATATTTTTTGAATTCCAAAAAGCAGTGCTTGATTTTATCATTCTTATAAGGGACAACATTTTACCATGAGCATCTATGGAGTTGATTATCCATTTGGGGGGGGGGGGGGGGGTATGCAACTAATTCCCAGCAGATACCAATGGCTCACTATACAACAAAACCATTAAAGAGTAAAAAAAAAAAGAACGGCCTGCCTTTCAGCATAACTTTCAGTTATATCTAGAGATGTCAGGGATTGAACCTTAGACCTCCTCTTTGCAAAACACATGCTTTTGTACTGAACTTTGGTCCCCCCCATAGTCCTTCCATATACCAGTATATCTTGCTTTTCTTCTGGTGGGAAAATCAAGAAACAAACATAGACACACACACACACATATATACATACACACACACACACGTGTGTGTGTGTGCACACGCACGTACTGTGTGTCTTATTCTTGTTGCCCCCACCAACCCCATATGTTATTCCTACGACCAACATAGCTTGTATTAAAATAAAACTCCCATCTCTTGATTATCCTGCCTACTAGGTTCTATTTTTAACGTGAGAAAATGTTTAAGCAGATGGAGATTGTGAATTCAAAGGAGTCCGTGTGTCTTGGGAAGACATCAGAAGAGTATTGTCTTGTGTTCAAGGAATACCAGAAACCAACTATTTTAAAGTCCAAATAGTATACAGGTCAGATGTGAGTGAGGAAAAGCTGCTTCTGAAATCACCAGACTAGCAGTACTTGAAAAGCAACATTATTTGTTACAAAAACAGCACATTTGCCAGAGGCTAAAACTGGTTTAGACCCTGTTTTATTAGTGAACTAAACAATAGATATTTATAATTCCTATCATGTCCTTCTCACATCTCCCACTCCATCTTGGCAATTACCCAGATGCAAAATGTAATGATACACTTCTTGCCTTGTAGAGGGGAAAAAAAGAATGGTTATGTGCATATGTAAATACAATGCAAATGGAGGGCTTGCTGTGCTACATATTTTAAAGCCGCAGAATGCCAAATGACATGCTAAGCACATGTAATTTGGGTGCTTGCATTTTTCACATAATTTGAATGTATTTTCCACATAGCATCATAGCCATGGGCCTGGGCATCTGTCCATATACACATTAAATACAGTATGTATCAAGAAGTTCTCAGACATCTTCTGAACACTAAATTCAGAATGGTTGCTATTTGAGATCAGAATGCAACTTTAGTGCTAACTCTACAATTATTAAGAAAAGGTGTATGTCAACAGCAGCAACTAATGGTTAGGATGTCTTGAATATATTTGCTGGTTCTGCTGACTTTTTAGAACTTACCAACTTTCAGACATTTCCACAAGATATTGCAATAAGGTCTATATTCAAAATCTCTAGCAGAGCAGAATACATTAGACAAATTATCCACTTGTCTCTGCATTGGTTTAAATACATAAGCAAATGTTCTTTACATTTGGTTTATAGAAGAACATACATAAAAGAGGGAAAACAGCAGGCAAGTTTTGTTTGGTGACTGTCATGAGGCAGCAACAAAGAGTGTCACACAAGAGAGTCTTTGAGTGTTCCTTCTAGATTTATCAGATATCTGAGCTCAGTACTGAATACTTTATAGAGAGGCTCTTTAGTCAGGTTACCAGGGTGTATGAACTCTTCAGATTGAGTTCAGCAGATCTACTTTGACGGAGAAATCAGAAGGATGGAAGAACAGGAAGGTAGAGACAGAAAACCTGGAAGAAAGGTGTTTGGTTTTATTTATTTTCAAAAACTTCAAAAATATTTTAATTGAACTTATAGTGGAAAAGAAATGATTATTTTAATTATGTTGGTTCTAACTTAGCAATTAAATGTATGTCTTATTACTAAAAATACCATCAGTTATTTCACTTCTCCTCACCCTGTTCCTGCTTTGTGTTTGTGAGGAGAGGAAAGAACTTCATCAGTTTGGGAAAAAACATTTTTCCCTTCCATCAATTGAAAAGGAATGAGTGAAATTAAAAATGGACGCAGAAACAAAAACATTTAACTATAAACTATAACCTCAGATCCACATCAGCTTTCACCCTTAACAAAACCAGATCACTACGCCTATAAAAATATTAGATCAATTCTCAGAAATAGTTTAGTGACAAGCCAGCATAGTTCTTTAAAATCCTTTTCCACCTTGACTGATTCTTCTGTTGTCGTTGTGTCTCCTTGGCATTACACTCCACCCAGAATCCCAGCTCTCTTCCTCTCATCTTCCCACTCTTCTTGGGGTCTATCTTACGAGGGATTCCCTCTGGCTCTCTCTTTCTCTGCTCCCTGTTCTCTTGCCTCACTCACCCTTTCCCACAATGTCAAATATTCTGCCAACCAGCATGCCTTTTCCAAACATATCTCTGCACAATAAGGGAGTGGAGTGTACCATGGGCCTCCTCTTCCTGTTCCTCGCTCCCTCTTGCTGCATGGAGTAAAAAACTGTCAGGGAAGGCAGTGTGGAGACTGAGCAGCATAGCAAAGGAAAACCTTATCCTCCATATCTCTCCCCCCAAGATGTTTTCAAAGTTATGCAAGGTTTCATTAGTACAATGGAACTACATGTTTAGGCCCCCCCCCCCCCCCCGAGAAATTGTTGGTTACATGTTGCACAACCACCTCCCATTACACAAATGCAACCCATATATTCCTCTGACCCTTTATTTTTTGTTGCATAAGAAGACCTGCAGGCATTGGTGGCTTTACTCTTTGCCAAGTTACATTCTATATCCACATAGGAATCCAAGAAGAAAGAGAAAGAAAGAGGAATGATGTCGGATCTGTTAAAAAAATAACATCTTCAGTTCAACCTGTGATTTATAGTCAGCATTGGAGTTCTGTTATACATCCAGCCACTCACAGATGTTAATCTGGTCAGTCATCAAGATGAGGGTTATTTTCAGTTGTAACAAGCAAAGCTGGGAACCTTTTCCCAAGGCAGGTGGGAATACCTATTTCATTATTTTTCTTTACAAACACAGTAAATATTGTTTTGTTTGATGTTATTTACTGTTCTATCTGTACTGTCCTAATCTCAGTGTCATTTTTACATTTCATTATATGGTGAGTGGAGTGTGTTTTCCCTGTTTTGCTGTTCCCATTTTGGTAACGTTTTAATGGTTTAATTGTACTGGACTCCCAAGTTTGGGTTGGGTGAATGTGTATGTGTGTGTGTACACATAGACAAATATGTATGTAAACACAGGTGAGTGGGTGGGTGGATGGATGGATGAGGGGTATGTAGGTGTTGTTTCCTTTTTTTGCCTTTATAAATGCTCAGAACTAGAAGCTGGTGGCAGTACTGAAGAGAGAGATAAGATGGCACCAATGGTTTCCTGCATCCAGATGATTGAGCTACTTCACCACATTGGTACATTTCCATTGCTTTTTCACCATGTTGTATATAAAGGAAAATGTATTTATTAACCACTGAAAGTTCAATGTGAGATGCCTCACAGGAGCAGTCTCTTTAATAGCATCAAAAACACACTCTGACAAGCTGGCTTTTAAATTTATTCTTGTTACTTTTTGTGTTAGTTCTGCTTCTGTTAGTGCTAATTCTGCTGTGTTTACTCCGTGATGATCTGCTATTGAAATCAATGCAGATGTGATAATAGTCAACCAGAAATGGATGCATCATACCCAGGAGGGAGCCTTGGGGGGTGAGGGAGAGGAGAATATCATAAAGTTTCACGATACACCTCACTGATGCACATATGCTTAAAACTCAGAGACATGCTGAATAATAGCGGATCATCAGTCAGATTTAAAATGTTGGTTTTGTGAGAAAATGGCATTATGAGGGGGTCTATCAAATCATTTACATCTCTAAACAAGGAGACTGGGTTAGGAGTGGCATACATGATCACCTCACACAACACAACTTCAACAGAGGAAGGTGCCTCCTGAAAAGCAACCCCTTTCCTAATAAAGACTAGCAGGCTATTGGTGGCCCTCTTGGGTTTCATAATTTATTTTTCTTGCTGATGTGCGGCTGTAATATGAATCATGTTGATTTTGAAAAACAAATGATATATTCAAATTATCATATTTGCACAAAAAACATCCATTTTGCCCTTCTTCGGATTTATATTCACACAGTTGCCAATGTATGCAAACAATAATACACATCTGTAATGAATGCCATATGCAATTATCTGCAGCATCGCCTCCTCTAATGCCAGACGTGGCTCTTTTCGCAGAGCTCTACATTTGCAGTTTTGCATTCATTATGGCATACTTCTGTGCATATTAAACTCCTCCACCCCCCCCCTTTTTAATTTAACTGGTACTACATATGCTGTCTATCTGTAGATTATTAATAATGTGGATCTATATCTGCTATCGTACCGCACAAAGCAAAAAAAGGGGGGGGGAGGGAGGGAGGAGGAAACAAAAGGATCTTGTCCAATACATGTAGAAGCATAAGAGCTCAAGAAAATGAGGCTGGCATGGGGTCATATCTGCAAAGGTCTACCACAGAAGGAAATCCCACAGAGCAGTGGTTCCCAACCTTTGGTCTTCCTAACAGCTGGTAAGCTGGTAATCTAGGTGGCATTTCTGGGAGTTGAAGTCCAAAACAACTGGAGGATCAAAGGTTGGGAACACTGACATAGAGCAACACATCCAACTATAGGTCTTTTACAGATACTATATAGAAGTCTCCCATTGGGGAACATTTGGCCCTCCAGATGTTTTGAACTTCTCCCAGAAACCTAAACTAGCAAAGCCAATGGTAAGGAACTATGGGCATTTTAGTCCAACACACTGGAAGACCAAAACATCCTTACCCCTGTTGTATGCTGCTCCTGAGGCCCCATCTAAACTGCCATATAATACACTTTGAAACAGTGTTGCATGGTCAGTATAGACTCATGTAATGGAGTTCAATGCAGTTAAACTGCATTACTTGAGTCTACAGTAACCATATAATTCAGATTCAAACTGTCCCCAGTGTAGATGAAGTCTGAGTGCCTTAAAGAGAGAAAACGGAAAAAAAAATGTAATCATCTGAATCAAGCTGATTCTTGGTGTGCTAAAATAAGAGCTTGGAGACGTTATGTGTTTTGGATTAGTATTGTTTTCAAGCTTTGGAGATTTGTGACCAAATCCTTTTTCATCTGCAAAGCACATTATCATGGAATGCCCATATCAAACACTTTATCCCTCTGTCTCCTCCAGGTTTAAAGACACCATAGTTTGGTATGACAACTTTATTGGACTAAAGATGGTTATCATACATTACCTTTAAACCACACTCAGGGCACTCAATTTGAACCAGAAAGTCAAAGAAAAAATCATCACCAAGTGTGAGGAGATGGCAAAGAGGGAGTGCAAGAAGAGTACATTCCTGGTATGCTTACTTCTGTCATCTGAACACAGCCTCGCAGGCTAACCTTCTTAACACAGTGGAATGTCTGTCAAAGACATATAGATGGCCAGAATGGACAAAACAAAAACTGAAGGGGAAAAGCTTCCACAAACAGCAAGGAAATATTAGGAGGCTGTGAGTGTTTGCAGCAAAGAGCCAATGAGATATCATGCCCAGGAATCAGCATGAGGACAAACTGGAAGAATGACTGAGTAAGTGACACCAATATCCAGTAGCTGAGAGAGAAGGAGCAGAGAGTCCAGATACAGAACAACTGTGTACAAAAGATATGCAGGAAAGAGGGAGTTATCAGGGTTCCAGGAACATCAATAAGGCATGCAGCTCAAGATAAGCATAAGTTGAGGGTGAAGATGAATGTGGTTATGGATTTCAATACATGAAAGAACTAATGAGGTGGGTGAAAGGAGCCCAAGTGAATGACTATAGGATTGCAGCTGGAACAGTAGGGCTGACCAAGAAGAGAGAAAGTACTGTGAATCCTAAGAATAATGAAGAGAGAGGGATGATAAATTAATGATGGATCCAGTACTTTTATCTGAGAATGCCAGTGCAGTGTCGCATTTTTAGTGTTGGACTAAATTATATAGACCAGGGTTCTGTTCCCTGATAAGCCATGGAAACCCACCAGGTAAACTTGGACTCATTCTCTGCCCCATAAAACATTGATGGGGTCACCTTATGTAGTGAAGTGTGAATGTTAACTTTTAGTCATGTGTAATTATAGATAGATGTTTAATAGGGTAAGTATTTAAAATAGCATAACTGGGGGGATGGTAGCCACCTCAGCTCACTCTGAGCTGGGTTGCCATGGAAAAAGGGGTGGAGCCAACTGTCAATTGGCAGCGCAGGCATTTTGAAACAGTCAGTCTGTAGTCGGAGAACTACAAGGAAGGTTGGTTCTCCTATGTTGAGAATCAGGAAAGCAGTCTGTAGTCGGAGAACTACAGGGAAGGCTGATTCTCTGACTACAGACTTTGCAATGATGCCACCACTTTGTAACGACACCTCCACTTTGTAAAGATGACACCAGAAGCAGTAGGGCCATCACTGATTTATCAAGGTCTCCTACTATTTCTAATGGATTTATAAAATTGATAACACAGCTAATAGCTTATAATATTTTGTTGGGCTTTCTTTAATGTGTAGCGTGGCTTGACTTGAAAATATTCATAACAGAGACTTGGCTTTAAGAGAAACTGTTCAAAGTTTATTGAAGTATAGAAGAAGCTTAATGGTTTCAATATTTCTTAACTCCTAGAGGCACATTTCTTTAGAGGTTACATTTATAACATTTCATAAAGCAACTCTTGAGAGGGATGTTCCTTCCACTAAACAGGTTTTAAACTTATTTTTTCTTCAAACTAAGTTTCCTTCCTTAAAAGTTCACATCAAGTACCAGCTTATTCTTTCCCTATGTTATTTCTGTTGCACTAAAGATGCTTGCTGGGGTTCTCTCCCTCTTTTTGCTCAACACTAACTACTAATCTAAATAAGTCAACTTGAACTATCTAAACCACACAGGCTAAAAGCCTAAACCTTCCTGGTTCTCAACACAGTAGAACCAGCCTTTCCCTGTAGTTCGTTAACTACAGACTGCTTCCCTGATTCTCAACACTGTAGAACCAGCCTTTCCTGCAGTTCTCAGACTACAGACTCCCTTTCTGATTATCAACACAGGAGAATCAGCCTTCCCTGTAGTTCTCCGACTACAGACTGACTGTTTCAAAATGCCTGCCCTGCCAAGTGGCAGTTGGCTCCGCCCTTTTTCCATGGCAACCCAGCTCAAAGTGAGCTGAGCTGGCTACCATCCCCCCAGTTATGCTATTTTAAATACTTACCCCTATTAAACATCTATCTATAATTACACATGACTAAAAGTTAACATTCACACTTCACCACATAAGGTGACCCCATCAATGTTTTATGGGGCAGAGAATGAGTCCAAGTTTACCTGGTGGGTTTCCATGGCTTATCAGGGAACAGAACCCTGGTCTATATAATTTAGTCCAACACTAAAAATGCGACACTGCACTGGCATTCTCAGATAAAAGTACTGGATCCATCTATAATTACACATGAGTAAAAGTTAAAATTCACACTTCACCACATCTTMATTTATTGTTGAATTTATTGTTGTATTTTTATGGCATTGAATATTTGCCTTTTATGTTGTGAGCCCCTTGRGGAGATAGGGTGAGATAGAAATAAAGCTTTACTTACTTACTTAGGGTCATCCTAAGTCAAGCATGACTTGAAGGCACGCAAAAAACAACAATACAAAATTTACTTCAATTTGGATAGAAGGTGGTTAGAATATTTGACCAGAGCTATCGACATTGAGGTTCAAATCTCCACTAAGCTATGGAGCTTCTTGGGTGATTGTGGAACAGTCTCCATAAAGTGGCTTTAGGATTAAAGCAAAGTGGATGGGTGTTGGTAATTTGAGAGTGGTTTGAGGAGAGGGAGAGACAGAACAAGTGGCTGGATGGAAGAAATGTTTTCAGGCCCCAACTTTAGGAGCCACAACCCATTACAAAATGAAACCAGAGAATTGGGGAAGGGAAACTTGCACAATAATAAATCTGCCATTTTGAGGGTGACAGAAGGAAGAAGGCTTTACTGTCACGCTCATGACTGAAGCACAAGAGCATTTCTGCTCATCCTTCTGCACACAGAATCCTGTTTTGTGTTGAGTTGAGCAAAAGAGTTGTTACAAATCTCTGAAAGCATCTGCCATGTGATAGGTGCTAGCCATGTTTGTATTTGCTTGTTACTAGTACTAAAAAAGACAAGTGAAAGCTTTCTGGGGCTGCTACTTTGTGGTCGCTCATGGGCTTCTGAATGGCATGTGCTTCTGTGACCCATGTAGCAATGGCAACCCCTGTATTTACCTCCATATATATAAGGGGTGCAGTGAACTGAAGAGAAAACATTTCTCCTTACTATTTGGACAGTAAACAAGATCTTTCAGTGCACACATTCTTTCTCTGGCTTGACTCCAGTGTGGGGCCTTTGCAACCTGGTCTGGAGCTCGCCTCAACAGCTGTGAGGAGACTTTTTCAGCTTTTATCTGGATGTTTTCAGACACAAAGGAATTTTCCAAGACGAGAAGCTCACCTACTAAGTAACTCATCGGCTATGTATCATAACTGGTTTGTAAAACGTTCTCACAAGGCTCCTCAGTGAAGGCTATGGGATTCTCCACAGCTTGGGAAAACACCTTTTTTGGACTATAGCTCCCAAACCTCTTCAACCAGGTTATTGGCTGGAATATTGTGGGGGTTGGAGTCCCAAAAAAGGACCTTTGCCAAAGTGTCAGATAAACCTTTGTTTTGTTTTTAAAAAACCCAGGCTTGCATCAGTCAGACAGAATCATGGGATATTAAATTCACTTCCTCTAGAATGTACAGTTTGGATCAGAAGCATCCATGTTGCTGTCCTTGCTGCCTCCAAATTTAGCTCTCTCGCTCTCCTTCATAAGCCCCTGGGGAAATCTCTTTGCAGATGTGCTGCTCATACCCTGGCTTCATTCCTCTTCTCCGGTTCTGTTTTGCTCAGAGGCAAGGATGGCACCCTGGAAGACACAGATGAAGGAGGCTGTTATGTCACAACTATTAAGCTTGATATTGGGTGTCTTTCTGGGAGCAAGAAATTGTGATTCACAGCTAGAATTTCTTTTCCTCTTCCTATTGCATTGCTTTCTGCATTTCTGGACAACAAAGGAAGAAGGGAGAAAATACTGCCACCATTGCATAAATTCCTCTAATTCTCATCTTGCAAATGGGTAAGAAATGGGGGTGGAGGGATGCTTTACAACTTCTCAAAAGGCAAGATTTGATCCTGGAGCATTTGGTTGCTGATCCCTCATTTGTGATTAGAAGCCAAGAAACACCCCTTTGCTAAAATAAATGTACGTTGTACCAATATGTATCTTTTCTCACTAAATCCAAAAACAGAGATAAAGCCACATTTGCTTCCTGCATCTCTCTCTCTCTGTCGGATGCCTGTTGTATTATCAGCTGATGCCTCTGCATTGATGAATCTGCTGAGCTGTAAAAAAAAGAATGGGGGGAGGGTGGAGAGAGATGTGCTGAGTAAGAGGAGTAAATAAAAGGAAGCAAAATCCTCCATTGTCCACTGCTGACAGCAGTAGGGTTCGTGATTAATAATTGAACTGCTTTTCCAGGAAAGTAAAGGAGGTGCTAGAGTCCAAGCCACAACAACAAACAGACATAGTCCTGTTCCAGGAAAGGCTGTGTTCTTCCATGAGGCTTTATGGAGCGATTACACTGTGCTGCAGGCATTCTGAACTAGAAGAAGGTTGTGATTCTGCTGCATCTGATACTGAGCAAACTGCCTACGCATTGGCACACTTGAACGCTGATGCAGTCTAAATCCAGCAGCCAATATCAAGAGACACAGCCTTGCACAGTCATGTGGCCAAGACAGTGGAAGATGTATGGAATATTTTACACAAAATTGCATACTCTGTGTGTGGCTTTTTTAAGACTGTTGTTGCGTGCCTTCAAGTCATTTCTGGCTTATGGCACCCCTATGGCAAAGTTATCATGGGGGTTTCTTGGCAGAATTTAGCCAAAGTTTGACCTTGCCTTCCTCTGAAGCCGAGAAAATGTGACTTGCCTGAAGTCACCCAGGAGGTTTCTGTGGCCAAGCAGTACAGCTACATTGTAAAATTAAGGCAGTTTGGCAGCACTTTAACTACGATGGCTTAATGCTATGGAATCAATTGAGGTGTAGTACTTGTATAGAAGACTGCCAAGGAATATCAAGTGTTGCAGGCTGTATTTCAAAGGACGGAATGGCAAAACCACCTCTGAGTTTTCCTTGCCTGAAAAACCCTATAACTTTCATGGGGTTGCCAAGAGGACAGACACATATACACACGCCACACATTGCCCAGAGGCCAAATGAGAAATTGCAACAAAATACCCCTAGCTTTAAAATGGGGTCTTCTCTAAACAGATGCAAAAGCAAGGGGGTACAGTGGTGGAGGCAGAGCTTGAAAACAATTATCTATAGCAGGGGTCCTCAAACTACAGCCCGTGGGCCACTTCTGGCCCACCAAGGGCACTTATCCGGCCTGCGGAGGAGCAGTGTCCCCCCCACACACAGTGCCCCTCCCTTGGCTGGCTCACGCTATCCGTCAGGCCCGATGGGCAGTGTGAGCCAGCCAAGGGCGGCTGCCCCGCACGGCCTACTCTCGCGTAAAGTACCTCGCGAGGTGCTTTACGCAAGAGTAGGCCGCACAGTGCTGCTCCTCTCTTGGCAGGCTCACGCTGCCCATCGGGCCTATGGGCAGCGTGAGCCAGCCAAGTGAGGCTGACCCGGCGCTCCATGCAGTCATGCCAGCCACATGACCTTGGAGGTGTCTACGGACAACGCCGGTTCTTCGGCTTAGAAATGCAGATGAGCACCACACCCCAGAGTCACACATGACTGGACTTCATGTCAGAGGAAAACCTTTAACAAGGAAAATTGTGGAAGATCCAGGGTGGGAGAAAGAACTCTTGTCTGTTGGAGGTCGGTATGAATGTTTCAATTGGCCACCTTGATTACCATTTCATAGCCTGACAGTTTTTAGGGAGAATCCTTTGTTGAGATGTGATTAGCTGGCCCTGATTGTTTCTTGTCTGGAGTTCCCCTGTGTTTGAGTATTGTTCTTTATTTACAGTTATAATTTTAGAGTTTTTTTTAATACTGGTAGCCAGATTTTGTTCAGACTAGAAATAGGAAGATTTCCCATTCTCTGCTCCTGGAATTACTGCCTAAAGAGGGCTAGAAAGAACCCCCTCTAAGGGCCCTTCCACACAGCAAAATAAGATATGTGCAATGTGCATAGGAATTTTTAATTGATTAAAAAAAACCTATAGTCTGGCCCTCCAGCGGTCTGAGGGACAGTGAACTGGCCCCCGGTTTAAAAAGTTTGAGGATCCCTGATCTATAGTTTCACCCTGTTTTGTTACAAGTAATGAGTTACTTGGGGAAATGTGGAAATAACAAAGTCACATCTCAAAAGTAGCATAATAGATGAAATGTTAATTCCTTCATGTAATGAATGATGTTTCTAGTTATTTGCTCAGGCCATTTTCAAAGGAACCTTGACAGACTGTTCCAGTTTGATGGCATTCTTTTATCATTCCTAGGGTTTTTTTCCATCTCAAAAAAGTAACAGAAAGTATTAGACAAGGAATTAGCAGTGTAATTAACAATTTCCCACAAGCAGTGCTAACAGGGTACTCTAAGGACCAGGCTGTGGCACAGTTATCTGAGAGCTAGCTGCATTAAATCATTTGTCTAGCTTGCTGTCAAACTATGCAGCTCAAAAGATAGTTGCATCTGTCAAGTAGGAAATTTAGATACCGCTTTAGCTAATTTAACTAATTCTTCTGCACCTTCCAGCAGCGTGCAGAAGAATGAGGAAGTACTCAATCAAAGGACTCACTGTCACAATGGACACAATGAAGTGGCAACTCCCCCTGTGGCTGGAATCGAGCCGGAATCCAGCATACCCTCATGAAGCCGGAAAAAGCTTGGGCACAGCTGGAATGTTAAACTGCCTCTATGTCTGTTCATATGTGTTGTATGTCTAACTGGCACTGAATGTTTGCCATGTATATGTACATTGTAATCTGCCCTGAGTCCCCTGAGGGGTGAGAAGGGTGGAATATAAATACTGTAAATAAAATTTAAAAAAATAAAATAAAATTCTGACAATGAAATGTGAGTAATGGGAATGCATTACTTCTAAACAACTTTCCAAGCTGTGGGTGTGAGTGAGAAGAGCACAAACGTTGTGTTTGTTGTCTGTTCCTTCATCTCTTCTCCCAACTCATTCTTCTGCCAGCCACATACCCTTCTAGTATCAAAGTTCAGGTCAGCTCCAAGACAATTGCAGGAGGGCAAAGGGAAAACACCAGGAAGGAAACTCTGGGAGTGTAGCATTCCTCATCCACACAGTCACTTTCATTGTGAAAAATGGATCCATGTTTTCATTTCTACATGACTGAACCAGGTCCATATTTGAATTGGCCTTTAACAACACACTACTGAACATGCCAGTGAAAGACTGTAATAATGTTAATCATGACCTTCAATTCAAGTCTGGCTATTAAAGTAAAGGCCATGTTTTCTTGCCTAGCTGCTTTCAGGGGATATTTATAGTTCGACCTGTAGGGAATGATGAAAACTGGGAAGTATCTTTGCAACAATGGGTTCAATACTCCAGAAATCATACAACAGCTATTAGCAGTCTGAACCTGAAGACAGAAATAGACGTGACTCGGGATCAACAGGGAGGAAGGGTAACAAAATAAAAGCATGTTCTTCCCATAAGAAGTCTGCCCCCAATGAAATTTACCTTGAATTCCCAAATTTCTAGCATTGCAGGGAATGAGACACTGAAAATTATTCACACCCCAAACTGTTCTAGTCAGCCCTCCACATTCACTGGAGTAAGGGGCACAGGACCCTTGTGCAAATGAAAAACCATGATTTTTAAAACTGCTATTTTAAAAGTTGTGTTTCTTATCTGTTGGTAGTATACTAATCTCAATAAATATATATTTTAACTAATTTTTAATAAGAAAAAAAAACCTCTATAGGAATTTCTAGGTTTTCAAGCATGACTTTATGGTAAACTTCCATTGTAAATTGATCACAGAATCTCACTTGAGGAACTAGAGATTCCCAAAAGAACATTGTAACCAAATTTTAAATAATCAAATCCACAAAAGTCAAAACCTCGAGGGCTGACTGTATTTCCTTTGTTCATATTCCCTTGGTTGCTTTGTCTGCCCTGTTTCTTTGGACGCATTTCTAATTGCTCAAATGAAGTTATAAATTACTAAAATGTTAATTTGAGAACTGAAATATGCTTTTATAGGGAGAGGGAGAATTATTTTTGGAGGTCAATTTCCTTATGTCCCCCTCCCCACAGTGAGTACCACCACAGATCTAACTTCTCCACCTCTGGTTCAGACCATAGCAACAAAAGAGAAGCCATTGGCAATTTTTACAGATGCTTTAGCAATGATTGCAAGGCTTCCAGGCAGGGGGATTTGTTAGACTTTTTAAAAATGTTTGTAAATTCCCTTATTATTAAAAAAAAATTGGAAAAAACAGACCACTGGTGCCACTTATTTTATAAAAGGAAACAGGACAAAGAGCAACACACGTGTCAATGTATTCATCGCTATGCATGGAACTAAATAACAGAATTGGGAAATCAGGCAGGACTACTCACTCAATAAGAGGAAAGATACAGACTGGAGCAAGAAAACAAAAACCTGAAAGTGACTCAGCATAACAGAGAGCAGGGGAGCAGGAAAGGTGGAACTAGATATTTATAAGTCTTAATGAAAAAAGATAAAATGTATTTTACATATTATCTGACCTTGTGATGCAAAATCAATCAAAACAATAATACACAATTTCTAAAGAAAACATGAGTTCCCTCTTTACATACCCTCCAACATTTCACACTGTGTGTGTGGCCAAGCAGCGTTAAAGTTTGGTCAAGGTAGCAAAAGATATCAATGAGTAAGAACCCAAAAACCCGGAGAAAATGTAGCAGTTTGCTTTTGTCAGAGTCCTCTCCCCTCAACTGGTGCAAATTTCCTTTTACACTTTGAATTCAGATTGCAGCAGGTGAACTGCCACGGCTCAGTGCTATGGAATCATGGGATTTGTAGTTTTACAAGATCTTTAGCCTTCTTTGCCAATGCATGCTTCTGCCTCATCAAACTACAAATCCCATTATTCCACAGCATTGAGCCTTGGCAGCTAAAATGATGTCAAACTGACTTTTCTTCAGTGTAGGTGTGCCTAAAGTAGAGACCCCTGGAGGTGATAACAGTAGGACTGGGCCACCTAGCCCTCCCTTGCTTCAACATATGAAGCATTTTCAGGTGAAATCAGATTTGAGGAGGAAGAGCAAGATGAAACACACTACTTTTTTTCAAACTGGACCCCAGTCCTTGCATGAGCCGTTCATTTCCCAGCATGAGGCACCAATACAGGAAAAAGAGCCAATTTAGTTTCTACTGTTTGCTTTTGAACATTACTTTGGCTAAACCCAGACTCTGTCCGGAACTTTTTTGACAGTTTTAAAAATCATGACGGTATCCCTGGGAGCCAAGTCAGCAAAGGTTATTAGGTAGGAAGTGAAATTTCATAACAAAGGACATATGATCCTTGTCAAGGTGTTAGTGTCTCCATTTTCTTGGCCTGCATGCATATAGAAACTAACTCTAATTTAAGAATGTATGCAAGGAAATGATTGTACAGAGAAGTTAGGAACAGATGTTCCCATTGTCCTGTCTGTAAAGATTCAGATACTTTGCCTGATTAAAACTCTTGTCCTGCAACCACTGCAAGTTGTCTTGTGCCCTCTCACTTATTTGGTTGCCCCCAGTTATTCAGTAAAACTAGAGCAACTATATTTCAATATTATTTGCTGCACTAATAAATTTCAGGTAGCTGTTACTTTCTTTAGAATATGAGCGTGTCAGTAATAGGACGTAATGCTCACTAAATTCATATTTCTTGGCCTGTGTCATTTCTACAGGTCCTATCTATAAAAATACCTTCTGAACATGGAAATCCCTTACCCTCCATCTTTACCAACTTGGTAGATATTAATCTTCTGTCATCCCACTTTTTTAAAAAAAATCCCAGTTTTTCTCTCCTCCCCCACTTTATTTTGTCTTCAGACATTTCATAGTGTGTCCAAGTAGTTTGCACTCAATTAATTGAGCAGGTGGGAGAGGAGAAGAAACACATGCAAAAACAGTTTCAGCTTCTCTTAGCTTATATTCTCCCTGTCGTGCCCCAGGAAGGCATTCACTGTTTACCCCTAGTTAAACCCTTTTTAGTTAGAGGGATTAATATTTTATGTACAGTTTCTGGAGGGTCAGTCTAGACAGCCTCTTTGCATTTGAAGCATCCGCCACGCTGCCCCTCCAAGAATCCTCTCAGGGCAGGAGCACATTTCTGATTCTTGGAAGAGTCAGCCTTTTTCATGACTAGAAGGTAAAGAAAGAGGAAGGCTGGTAGGTCTACAGAATAGCACATCCAATTGGAGCTATATGAGTTGTATTCAAGTCCAGTTGGAGCTGTATTCAAGTGCAGTCAGAGTTAAATATTGAGACCATCTTAGAGACAGTTGAACACCATAAAAGAAAGAGACAATAAGAAGAAATAAAGATTCAAGGGCCCCAGTTCAGCTGGAACTGTGTCTATCTCTCAAAGACTTTGCCTCTCCTCATAAGAGACTCAGGAAGAGAGAACATCTAAAATTCCTGTCAGTTAATAAATGCTTGTTTTGATTCAACTATATAGTCTCTGATCTGTTCCCTGCACAGTTCTTACCTTGCAAGTAGTTAAGATAGTGTGGGGGCAGAACACTCCCACATTCATAACTTTTGCCATCTTGGTCACACTCCAGTGTTGCTTGGCCATGGGCGTGCCAATGTTCACAAAGGCCCTATCAGCAGAAGTGAAATGACAGAAAATTAACTAGGACATTTGGAGTGTATGTAGTAGTACACTTGTATATTGTGACTCTTGTATCCTTGGAAACAACACCTGCAATTTCACTTGTCAGTGCCCCTGCTCTCACAAATAGAGACAGTCCTCAAATTATGAATAAGATAGGTTTTGTAGGTTTGTTCTTAGATTAAATTTGTTTGTAAGTGGGAACAGGTATACTCCAGCCATGAAAAAAATGGCATGTTGTGGAAACAAGGGCTGGTGGCAAAGCTTCAGTGGAGGCACTTTTTAGCCATGCTAACTGTTCCAGGAGTGATTTTCCCTTCCTGGGAATAGATTTCTCTCACTTCCTGTTGTCTCAACACTGTTTGTAACTATAAGTCATTTGTAAGTTGGATGTTTCTAACTCAGGGACTGCCTGTATGTTCTCACTAGGCATTTTCTAGGTCTTCCTGCACAATTAAATGATATGCTTCCATCAGAAGTTGTTCATTTCAGAAAACTATTTGCAGATCTACATTTCCATGGTAAGCTCAGAAATGTATCCACCACAGATATGGGGTCATGCTGCATTTACATGTGCCTTATCTTTCCTTCTCCTCAACTATTTCTACCATGTATTTTAGGTTGGAAGACCCCTGGAATTATCTCATGTCTTCTTTTTCTCAATAGAGTGCCATTTACACAGATGTTACTATATAGTTGCTTTTAGCACCTTAATTATCTATAAGGAAAACCATTTGGAAGGCCCTTCTTATCTTCCTATGAGTTCTACTACAAGATTCAACCCAGTTCCTCAAAGAGGAGTGCAGCAATAATGCATACATTGTCCCATAAGAAAAATCTCAGTTGACACAAATGGATAATCTTTAATTAAAAGGGAAGTACCTTTGAAATGCTGAATCAACTAATAGTAGGCTTCAGACAACTAATATCCTATCTCTCTCATCCAGCAAGTCTTTCAATGGTCCCCTTGTTGCTCCTCCAGTAAGCAACTGACACACCTTTTTTCCTGAGGCCAAGAGGTCCATTCTAATACTGCTTAGATTAATACAGGAGAAACAAAAACATCAAAATAGACGTGGCATCTGTTAGTGATTTTTTTAAACAAATTATCTGTGGCTCTCCTCTTCATAAAAATAGTTCAATGCACACAAAAAATTAAATGAATTAAAATATATCATCTATAATGTCCCGCTGAAAGTTGGTCTAACAATGGAAATGACAGCAA